GGTTGTGGTAAGGGTAGGGGCTTTGGGGTGCTGTTAACACCTTTATCACGAACGTAGCTAGCTAGTACTTCCGGTCTGTATGGGAACATCTCATAGAGACGCACCCGGTGCATCTCACATAACTACGCTTTGTCACTCTTTCTCAAATCGTCGGTATGACGCCCTGACATGAGAACGGACTGCTCCTCCGCTCTGCTTAAGGCTGGAGGCTGAAGGCTACATTAGCCGCTACTAGCATAACACACTCAAATCTACGACTGAACAAGGAAGAAGGATGTGTGGTATAAAAAACATGATAGCTTAATTCTGCTGCATTGATTTTGATCCCTTTTTTTAAAAAAAATTAACTTGAGGGCAAACAAGAAAACATGTTCGCACCGTGGCCTTTGCGTCTCTGCAAAAGTCATTCTGTTCTGGTAATCACAACAGATGATGACAGCTTACAAAACATGCAAAGTAATTTACTATTTGCCCCTAACTTAGCCACAACTTAGCCACATACTGTCACACGCCCCCCAAAGTACTCGGCACTGGTCATACAAGAGACCTTGTTTTTTTTCCCAAACATGGGAAAAACTCCAGGCCACCTTGTGACAATCCAGCTCTGCGGACGCTGCGTTCAATGTGCCGACTCAACTCCTGGCAGGGTGCCTCTCAAACAGTGATGGAAGCTGACCTTTCTCTTCCTCTCTTCAAACAACATGGCCTTTAAGATGCTTCTGACTCCGCATAATTCATTGATGATGCCCTTCACACAAGTCTCTGAGGCTGTGCATCCCAACTCTGACCCATCTCACAGCCCAGCAGCAGACACACAGGGCCGCAGAGCAAGCAGGACGGATGGAAATGTCAACATCAGGCTTACTCTGACAGGTGGGCTGTTTTTGTGATCGCACATTGCCTCGCCAAGCCACAGACCTCCACATTTCCATATTCATCAGTCTCTTCTACCTCTAGCTGACAGCTGAATACACAAAAACACAAACAGGATGTGATTTGGATGAGAAATAGCAAAGACCAAGTTTGGCCCATCACTATTTTCTAGAGAAAGGAATATATTTATAGTGTAGCATTATACACAAACAGACATTTGACAATATCAAGGAAAAATAGCTCGAATAACAAAGAAAGTTAATGTTATGTTTATGAAAGTTAACTTTGAGTTAGGGTTATATGAACTCCTGATATTTAGATATGAATGTCCTATAGTTTTACTGCCTGCTTGGAATGGTTTAGTAATGGCTTTTATAATGCTGTATGAATGTGCAACACTAGGAGAACTATGGGTAATAAATTACCTTGCTATGTATTTGTGTAGCTCTGACCATCGGTTCTTTTGCTAGGACTATGCTGTACTCGCCAAAGTAATTGTTGAAATCTGGGAATGCTCTGATATCTCTAAAAATAGGTCCAAAGGGGCAAGAAACACGGGCAGTCAGTCAGGTTGTAAACAAGCCAACATGTTAGCCAGATGATCAAAACCAATTCATTTGAAGGTAAAACTGAACGTGACAGCACCTGAAATGATGGCCGTTATTCCGCATTACACAGCAAACATAGGATCTCAGTAATTCAGACTACGGTTAAAAGTAAATAATTTAACATAAAACCCTCCAACTAGTAGCATTTAAATCAGCATTAAAAATAAATGTTTCATTTGGTTTAAGCAGGGATGTTGGGAGAGCCGTCTGTATTGATCTATAAATAATAACGCTGATTATTAGAGAATTTAACATTTTTGGCAAAAGTAATGTTTAATGCTCCACTCAGAGCTGGTCATTGTGCTGTGAAAGTGTTTTAGAAAAAAAGATGAAGGATGAACACAAGACTATTTACATTAGGTGGGTTTCCATCCGGTGCTACATTTGGATGGATACCCAGCTTGTGTCTATGTGATCATGAAGTTTCTATGTGTGTAATAATTCATTTATAATAAGTGCTTATAGTATTTTCAGTTGGAGCAACCCATGTGTCGATGTCAACACCGCGTGGGCCGAGGTTTACCAAATCTACCTTCTCAGACTAGTCACAACAACAAAAAAGGGAGAGGATTTCTAACAAAACTGGAAAGCCTCTTTACGGAAGTGTGCAGCTGAGCCTCATCGTCAGTCTGGCTAGCGGCCATCCCACTGTTGGGCCTCTCTCCTCTCTCGTCCGTCACCATGGTGGGTCTTTGTGTCTGAGAGGGGAGCTGGGATCACTGAGGGCTAGAGCCTGTTCCAGATGTGTGCAGGAAGGCCCACTTTCCCCTCTGGCATAAAAGACAATCAATAAGAAGAATTTTTCTTCCTCTCCCTCTCCACCGCTTTGTGAGACAGCCCCCTACCTCCAGGGCTTCCTCTGCCTCACCTCATCCCTTCATCCAAAATCCATCCATTCTCAGATGCGTATATTTACCCTTCAGCCCAGAGGCCAAACAGCACTGAACATGCTTTGTCTCCATTCTGACTTCTTCCCTGGTAGAACCTTTTCATACTCTCATCTCTGTAATTCTCTACATTAATTATTCAGGCCCTTCCAGCCTATGAATATAAATCCATTATGCCTGCCCCGCTTCAATTAAGAGATTGGGGATGGGATTATATGGGGGGATGGCAGATGAGGCGATTAAAGGATTCATGAGACCTCACTTTAAAATATTTATGCCACCCTCAACCCTATGCAGAGATACATACATATATGTAATTATTTAATGGCCACTGTACAGTCAAGTACCACGCAGGGTCTCCAGAAATCAGCCATGTTCCTGGTGGATTCTGGCCCATCAGGAAGTTCCTACTCATTTTTCAGCTTTGCATATATTTCGTCTTCTTTAAATACACTCTGTTGATGTGATGTGATGTGACTGTAACATTCCTCGAAGCTTTCTGAGATGATAGGTGCTTTGTGACATGGTGATATCCTGCTGGAGGCAATCCAGTTTGAAACTGACTCCGGCCACAGATGGACACACCTGGTCAGCTGCAGTGCTAGTGTATGCTGTGGCATTCAAATGAGACTTTACTGTTATAAATGGGCCTAATGTGTGCGTAGAAAACACACATCATCAGACTGTACCTTTTTTCAAAGAAACTCTGTTTATCCCACATTCTGACCCTGCCATCGGGATCTGGCAGTAGAAATCAAGATTCAAGGTCCAGGGGATATTTCTCCATCTAACAGAACAACGTTTCTTTTCATACCTAATTCAATAATAATAAAATACCTATTACCTGATTAACCTGTAGGGTTCAAATACATGTTTTTTGCACTTTTAGAAAGACAAAAATAACAAAAATATCATTGTGTCCACACAGCATAACCGTAAATTATAAAATGTATATGTCAATGAGAGCCTATCTACCCCTTACTGTTTAATATCAAGTAGGTAGATGTATCCAATTATCAGTCAAGGAGCAACTGATTTCATTTTGTCAGTGGAAACTGCTGTGTCATTGTACACAGGAACAGGATAACAAGACTTGTCTCAAGTGACCTAACTGCAAACCTAATTATGATGGAAATAGGAAGATGGGTGGAAAAGAAGAGCAGACGCGCGCCCTGTGTCTTCATCATAGTTTCTGCTTGCTCCTCTGAGGCTCTCAGCTGTGCTGATGGATGCTTGGCTTCCTCTAAACTACAGCTGATATAGCATGGGCCTGAACGTGGGCCATTAAGTTTAACCCTGTTGATTGCTGTGGACACGGATTAATAACAACGCTGTATACAGCTTCGCTCTGCTAGGAAAATTCAGCAGCTCTTATCAAATGAAACAGTCCCTTCACTCCTGGTTTCAATGGTAAACCACCACAAGAACGACAATTACCAACAAAATACACTATATTCTAAGGAGACACGTTTTAATAAACAGAAATCATGAAGTAACATTTGTGTTTCAAACAAATGGCAACTCCCTTCACTCTCATGCATCATGGGAATTCTGAGGAATGGTATGCGTGTGCGCAGCGGTTTATTTACGGCGTCAACTCACTCTGGAAGCCTCTCAGAAGTGTTTCAGCAGCAGAGCGTGTAGCTGCCCCACGTTCATGACTTGTTTTTAAAATGTCCTTTTTGTGCTTCTACTACCTTCTTCACAGCTCTCTATGGCCCACTTTCATTCCTCGTCTTGACGGGTGCATCTAGCAACTATCACAGGGAGCATTTCAGAATAAGAGCGTTTTACCTGCCGGATTTTGCCGACATGTTTAGATTTAGTTGATTTGGTGATTAGTGCTTTCTTTTTGTACTTCTACTGTGATTATGTAGGCTACGTAGATAAATAGTTTCTTTTTTGTCTGATTTAACTGTGTTTATTGTTGATAGTCTCTAACGGTTATTTTATTTTGAAAATTGACCAGATTCTCTGCCGTCTTACTTCCTGCCCGGTTCATATGATCTGTGCTGCTAACGGAGTGAGTCCGGGGCATAGGTCCGGGGCCGTGTAAACTTGGTTTAAATGACTTGGTAGCAGGTGGGCCCTGTGATGAAGCTCCGCCCCCACTGTGCTGAGAGTCTAGCCCCCGACTGCCCCCAGTGTAATCAACACTTAAGCTGACGGTGCTGTCAGCAGCCATGCAGGAGACAAAAAAAAACGAAAAAAACAAAAGCAGTTTCATGTTGCAGTCAAGTTTGTATACGATCTAAGTACAAGACTGAGCATTTCTTCTTGTTTGAGTGTAGCCTTCTACAGGGAAATGAATGATGTACAGAAATGTTTAAGGTTTTCCTATCATCTGAACAGCAAAGTTCAAAGTTTGGGTTATTATGTTAAATGACCAAAGAAGAAAATAAAAAAAAAATCATATTCCCCAAAGTAAGGTATCAGTACTGAACCTCAGCTACTGTATATTTACACCTGTATCAATACTCAGCCCAATTCCTACTGTTGTTGGATGGGAAGAAAAGAAGATCCAGCAGCACTGACGAAGGCTGCATGGTGGGGCTTTTTTTTCTACAATTGCTGCCATCAGCACACCAAGTGTACACACTCAGACACACTCACTGCAGCATCAGTAACTCACCAGGAATATCCTCTCCAGCTGGTCCTGGATGTCCTTCATCCCAGGAAAGGCAGCCACTCCTTGGATCATCTCAATGAAAATGCAGCCCACCCCCCTTGAAGAGAGAACGGAACATGATAAGAACTCACATTCAATATTGACTCTGTTAAAAATGTAAACCACAAATAATTAGTCCAGGAGATTGTTTGAATAAGTTTGAATTTGTTGTGATATCTACAGAACTGTTCCCAAAAATAAACATTACAATCACAGAGAAACACAACTGAAACTTAAAGACCTGTTTGATCTTTGTATACATCCAAGTGCAGTTTGTACAACACTTACTGTTAAATCAACTCAACAAGCCTTAACGTAAAAGTCATTCTGAAAAGATATCGATTTCTTTTCTTTCTAAAGACTGTTAAAGCCTAAATGTAGGTTGAAATCAGTAAATTGCTAGGTCAGTGTAACCTGTAAGGAGAAATATCAGGTCTAGCAAAGAGGGAGGGTAAAGGGTGTGTGTGTGTGTGTGTGTGTGTGTGTTGCCTGCACTCATTTGTCAAAAGGCTATTGTTTCCTGACAGATTCACTTTCTGGCTCAGTGCACACTCCCTCTCTGAGCCGGCAACCAGCAATGAGAGAGAGAGAGAGAGAGAGAGAGATTCATCCCTCAAAATGTCTCCATTCCTTCCATTTTAACATTCCTGAAGCCTGCTGTGAATCAAATATCACAGAGACTCATCCATCTCCATGACATAGCTGTAACCTCAGCACCCAGTATTTCTACAGTGTGTTAGCTGAGGTGTGTATGTGGGTATGGACAAAGGTCATCTTCAAAACAATACCATTTTCAGTATAGGGTTATACCTTTGTATCAGTTTGCTGTCAGACCAGTCATGTGGTTAACATCTGATATTGGATAAAGACGTTCGTCCCTGACAACAGTGACAGATGCTATAAAAGACTGTGTGACTATATTAAACAGGAGAGGTGGGTCACCTTCAATTAAACCTGCATGAATTGTTTTTTGGGGGGGCAATGGAAAACATCCTGTGAACCCAACACAACACAACAAATGATCAGCTTTAAAGTTTTTATGGTGAGTTTGGCAAATTGTTGTACGTCCAATATTCACTCTCTTTTCAACTCTCTTTTGGTCCAAAACAGAACCAAAGTTGTGCTACGTAAAACCAAGATAACAGGCTGAAAGACGTAAAATGCTTCGCAGAACTTACAGAAACTCTTGTGATATTGGTTTCTGATCCAGTTAGTCTGAAAATTACAAAATAATTGCTCTGTAAAGCAACAGTATCAGTGTACTCTGATATTTTACACCAAAAGTATCTTACAAGACTGACAGCAGCAAAACAGCTCACAGTGGTTCCTTTCATGCTTGGTCATTTATTCAGAACAAAGAAAGAAAATCAGAAAACATGTGCTGAAGGCAGCAGAGTGTTTTGGTGAAGAAAGTTAAATTTTACTTTCTTAACTGTACAACAGGTCATACAGTGTCCGGGGATGTATTTATGTTTGTGTATACACATTTATGTGTGTGTGCGTTTGTACGTATTTATTTGCACGTAGAGCAAAGCGCAGCCTTTGTCTTTGTGTGATTGTGGATGGGATCTTTTCTTGTGCTGTCTTTGTGTTTGTGGCGCCCATTAATAAAAGCTATGTAAATAAAATAGGCCTACTCATACCGCAAAATGTCTTCAGAATTCCATAAAGACAATTTTTTAAAACACAAATTCACCTTTTTCAAATTCCAGAGAATGACGACTAAAATACTGATTGTGCAGTCACATCTGTATGCTGTTGTTAAAAACAAGACTGCATGTAATCCAGCGACATACTACAAATATCGATTATCAGTTTTACTTAAAATGTTACAATATTCACCATTTACATAATGCATTTTACTAATTGTTCTCATTTTAATTCTATTCCTGTTTAATTGCTAGCTCAGACCACTTGGTTTACAGTATAGTGTTTTAACACTGCTGTTACTGCAATTGGACAGTGTTAGCGGTGCTGTGACTGTAATATCTCAGTGAATCAGTCAGTCACTGGGACCAGACGCACTCGTTTGTAGTTTTAGCACACAGTAAATTAGCCTCAGTAAATATAGGCCTGTTTGCTCAGAGACAGCTAATGAACTCTCCTGATGGCCGGCTGAGAGGAAAGCCTCTGCTGCAGGCACGCAACAAATACATTTGTGTATCTGTGTAAACAAGTGATCTGTGTCATCTTTCCAGACTTACTGTTTAAAAGTCTGGTGTGGTGCTTACTCACTTAATGGTTTTAATTTAGTCAGACTGATCCAGGATATTTGTATTTTTTAATACACAAAAAAATATATACTTAAGTTCATAAACAGTGATCTTTTTCAAAATGGAATTTTCAAAAAGACATAGTGGCAAAGACACTCCTGGTGTGTACTCTTCTCATCGTTGCTGCGGTCATGTGAAGCTGATGCTGCTGAAGGACTGAAAGTGACCTACCCACTGGGAGGCAGAGCTGTTTGTCTGATGTGCCCTTCCAGTGTCCTGCCTGGATATCTCAACATCCCAACTCTAAGTTTTACCTACACACACGCTCAATTTGACAGAGAGGGCCACAATTTCCAATAAGAGCAGATAATGCACAATTTCTTCCTGTTAATACATTAACATTTGTTAAAACCTACAGTGGCCAGCTGATAGGAAATTACTGAGACTTTTTTAAATGCATTTTTAAATGCCATTTTAAAGATAAACATATTCAGAATCAATGGAGCTGAGAGCCACCGTCAGAAAGTACTGAGAGACGGACTAACACATTGCTTGGTCTTTTCATGTGATTTCTTGACAATAAGAGTGAAATAAAATAACACCAGCCTTACCATTTAAGTTGGAGATGTTTCACAGTGCAGTCTACCATAACTAAATCTACATTAATCTGCGCATGATCACACTGACACTGACAGACATGTGTAAGAGCTGCAGCTCAGTGATGTGCTAAGGAGGGTAAAAATAGGGCAGTTTCTGTCTTCAATCATATCTTCCCTTCTAACAGATGGCGGCTTGAAGCCTGTGATGGATGCTTCTCATGGCAGCAAGAGAACCTTTTGGTCCTGCAAGAGATGCTTCTTCATGGAAGACTGCTTCCTAAGTGACATGGGGTGAGTGTGTGTGTGTGTGTCACAGGGTGACTCTCACAGGCATGGAACACCACCCTGTGGATTTGCCCACCTGCAAATTCCCTTGAACCAGACACACTATCCCTATGCCTACCAGACCCCCAAAGACCCCAGCTGCTCTTTAATTGGATGCTGGAGAATGCAGCTGGGTTCATGGGAAGTCCCTGCTGACTGCCTGTCCAGAGAGAAAGGGTCACCAAGGCTCGACTGAGAGTCCAACACCAGTCTTGTTGGAAGGAAGTTTTAGAGGTAAGAGACACTAGATGGAAGGTAGTCTGGGAGGGGAAACATATTCCTCCACCTCTGGGACATACTCAATTTCCATTTCCTGTTCAAGCAGTTGCTGCAGTTCTGTTCAACTTGACCCAAAATCTTACATTTCTAACTGATAAAAACACCAGAAGATGAATCGGATATATCTTTCAATATATTTCAGCATCTCTGAATCAAATAGTAGAAAAATTCTACAGAAATCATGTTAGTGGTGAAGTGAGTCTTTTGTTTTGTTGTTGTTTAGTCATTGTGGTTCATTACGGTTTGTATGCATGCAACACGTTAGGCCAAACATGATGTTATTATCTTAAAACGATAAAGCAGAAACTGCCAGAGCTTCTCAAACATGTCTTCAAATTCTGGTATCACAGCATCATTAACTAGTGAAGTGTTGACCACTTGTACAATATATAATCAAAAAGTTACATACCAAAGATGGATATGAATAAATCTGATTTAAAAACACATGCAAAAAAGACCCCAATTTCAACCCTATACTTGGGTCTAAAACTACCCCCCCCCCCCGCCCTCCAGAATATATTGTAAAGCAGCTCCATCACATCTGTCATTCTTGCAAGACTTCCACCATCAAAACAAGAGCAGTGAACATCACTTAGATCACATTGGTTTCACTAAGCTTCACAGAACACATATTACATAAAGGGAGCAGCAAATTTATTCTGAAAACTAGGGCTGATTAATCTTTTTAATATGAAAATCCCTATTTGAAAGAATGCAATTTTAATATAGTAACAGCCGCAATTTAAATTACATTATTAATATCTTCATAATTTGTGACCGCTTTTAGTCGGCTGATATGACAACTGTCGCCAGAAAATATGCTCAGCTGTAGCTAGTCAACGTAATTCAGTGAGTTGGCCAAAATCATATCTTATCTTATCACTGCTTTTTATGCTCTGCCAAAGATGGGTACTTGATAAAGAAGATCATTTTGAGGCTTGGACAGATGCTGGTTAGTGGTTAGCTTGGTAGTTGTTAAGTGATTGAGCTGGCAGATAGCAAAGAATCCTTTAAATTTTCAAATTAATGCATTATTCAGATTATTTAACAGTTTTATACTTATCACCTCAAAAGTAAATCCAATGTCTCTTTTGTATGTCAAGATTGTTTTCAATAAACACTATGAATGTAATATCTTGGTAAATGTTAGTTAAATTGCTCTTTCTTGGAACATAAATCTAGCTCATTGTTACTTAGATGCTTTTGGAAAAAAAACAACGTTTAAATGTAAATTGTTGCAATATTGGTCAGAAAAAAACGTAATTTCATTCATCATTCAGCCCTAATTAAATAATATGTCTGCTATTGTGCCTGTTGCTAGGTTAGTAAGAGTTTAATCAAATGTTAATCACACACTGCATTTTGGTAGTTGTTTCATCCACATCCGTAGCAGTTCCAGCTGTAAGTGTAATAAGTGTGAATGTGTGAGATTCTGCCTCTCCAGATCCACACTGTCAGTAAGAGGATGATTACAGGATGTGAAGGGTGTCAAAGAGGAAGAAACTAAGATACAACAGATTCTTCCAAGGAACAATCTACAGAATGCTGATGGGAACACATCCTCGGGTTAGGATGAGCTACAGATAAGTGGGTTTTAATGGCTTTTCGTTTCCTTCATGATTTTCCCCGCAGACAAAGAAAAACTGATCTAGATCTTAATAGGACTACCTGAATACATCAAGCATAAATTACACACTGCATGATGAAAACATGAAGGGATCTTGGTGTCAGGGGTTAGGAGTACCCACCACATGTCCAGGCAGGTGGAGTAGTCTGTGGATCCCAGCAGGACATCTGGAGGCCGGTACCACAGGGTCACCACCTCGTTGGAGTAGGTATGGCTGGGGACCGACTTGGCCCTGGCCAGGCCTGAGGGGGGGAACACAACAACACCGTTTCAGAAAGCATTATCATTGAATGACCTTCACCAGGCTTCTGAAAACAAGGCAGAAAACTGGGGAGGAGCCGCCAGACTCACTGTGACATCTGGTTCACACACAACAATGTATAGAACGCATTCAAGATATGATGAGATTTTAAGGTCCTGTGTGGGGGAATTAAGTTATTGTAACATACTGTAAAAATTAGGATACAGAAAGGACAGGCAAATGAAGGCACAGAACATAACAGCTCAGGATACTGATTAACACCTGAAATGAATTAGCAGACATTATAGGAGCAAGGTATAATAAGACAAATAGGCTATGGGTCTTCTGACCAACTGAGAGACCAATAGAGGCTACCATGTTTATAAACCCCCACATGAAATGTTGGATTAAGCAAAAGGGAATGTGCTCAGCAAATCCAGGGCGATCTGATTAAATATAGGGGTGGGGGTAATTGTTATTTATCTGATTTTTTTCATTGCTATGTTGACTGAACAGCAAAGGAGAGTGTACTGTGTGCCTATATTTGAACAGGGACTGTCTGACAATGTCAGACAGACAACCATAATTTTGAAGCTGTGAACAGAAAGTATAATATTCCCTGTGGTCTGACTTTATGACTTTAGCTCCGTGCTTTTAGACTATATTTGTTACATTAGTATACCGAATTAGCTATTAGCAGTTCCTGTACCCAGAGATGCACAGACAAACCATCACTGTATTATTCTGATCCAAAAAAACAGGTAATTTTGTAGAGTTATGTTTTTTTAATGATTTCTAAGCAGAGTTATGACACAAATTGTCGCATACGTACACGAGATGTAGTGTTCACTGTGTGCATCCTAAAATTTTCATGCTGTAGAACTTTTTCTCTAAATCATTTATGTTTGCCTGACGAAGATTTTGATGGTTGACGTGCACTCCATCCCGCTCTTTCCATTGTTAACTCGCTGACATTCATCCAGCCGTCATACTGTAAACTCCACTTGGCGGACCTGTCACTGGAAAGGACTTCGTACATTCAACCGCGACAAGCCTGAGATTGCCTTTTCAAAAGAAAATCATGATTGAAGACCTTTGAGGTTTCAGTGAGAAACTGTGTGAATATCAGTCAGATAAACCCAAAGGACCAATTTCCTTCAAGTGAACCGGACACCACTGGCTTTTTTTTTTTTTTACATTAGAACATGGTTAATCAACGGTGATACTACAGCTAGAGCTACTTTAGTACCTATAATTTGAAACTGTCAAAAAACCACAAAAAAGTGCAGCAGTTTAAAAACTTTGTTTTTTATAATAAGCGCACAAGGGTCCCCAGGTTATTTTAACCCTGTTCTAGCATTTATCTATGCGGTGACACAAATTCAGGTTAGTTAAGCATCCGGTGACAGTACTCCTCCCATGGCAGCTAGTGGTAGACCAGAGTGCAGATGCAGCGGGCTTTAATGAGGCTGATGGTATTACCTCTTTGTCTCTTTCCAAGTGGTCGGGGGTTTAATTAAAGCACTTAGCTTGGTAAAAAAAAGGACTTCCTGCCCTGCTGATTGTCCCCTGTGTGTGAGAGGAAGAAGGGCAGAGGGGAGTATAAATGAGGGGTGGGAGGGGGTATTTAACATTTGCCTGTGTTGGAGGAAGGAGTTTCAGTCGCCATCCATCACGACCAAGTACTGTAATTTCAACACACTGATCTAACGTAGAATAGATGCCATCAGCCCGCTCACACTGAGAGGCTATCATTTCCACTGCAGGCGTTGTGCGAGTGTGTGTCGGTGGGGGGGGACAACATCTACTCATCGTGAAAGAAAGTGCAGTGGTAGGAGGCTGGCCTGATTGTGACATGGTGAAGTGTAGTATGGTACATTACAATGGAACAAAGCATGTATGGGGAGTTTGGGGGAAGTAACAAAAAACACTGCCTGCACACCATTTAGCTATATATGTTGGGGACTAGTTTCAGTGCTGGATTAATCCACATGTGGTGCTCTTGTGAGTATTTGGGGCAGCAGGACGCCGGTGTATGTAGGATTGGGTCAAAATAAACTAAGATAGTTTATGCTTTGGTAATAAAAAAAAAAAAATTACTGTATATATAATGTAATTTAGGGCAGACCCCAAATAGTCGAAGATTCGACGCTTCGATGGGCGGAGCATGATTCGACAGTCAATCTCAAAGAGGAAGCTTCGCAGTGAAACAAGGATCACGCCATTTTGGCGATATGGGGGTGCTCAACGTCTGAGTTAACATAGAACTACCAGTTTTCTCCCATATATTTAATATACAGCCTATTACAAATGTACATTTCAACGTTTAATGATGTAAATAAACATGTAAAAAGAATAAAACTTTCAATAAATGTTTTTGAAGTGCGGAAATAAATCCAAAATTGTAACCCTAACCCTGGGTCGTCAGTGCTCATGCGTAGGCGTAGCGTGTATGTGTGTAGTGGCAGGAACACTTGCTGAAGAGACGGAGCCCCAGCTTCACCGGTGTTGTGTCAAGTTGTCCGCACCTCGCGGGACTTTCGGATAATTTATCACCGTTAATGAACCACAAACACAAAGAGCATTGTATCGCTTTTAAACAGCCGCTACTTGAAATAAACCCGCGAGGAACCGCAATGTACATCCAGTTTGTCAGCAGCAAGGCATGCTCGCAAAACTCTGCACAAGACCGGTGCACGGCAGGCAAGAGAGAGAGAGAGAGAGAGAAAAAATGGTTAACAATAAGCCGCAGTTCAGCTTTGGCTCACAATCGCAGTGCAAATCAGTCAACTATAGGTAGGACATGACAAATCTGATTCAATTATGTAAATTCTTAGTCGGGGACAGCCCTTACATAACTGTATTATAATAATATAATATTTTCATATTATGTGATATGTTGACAATAAAAATATCACATAATATGACACGCCTTATCCTTTCATTTTACATCTACATATAGTATATTCATTAATTTAAAAGTGACATTCAGCAGGGTTAGGGTTAGAAAAAGTAACAAAGCAATTATAATTCTTAGCTTTGGCTACATAAGCAGAATAAACGAAAGAATGCTAATTTAGTCCAAACAACAAGATTGTGTAATCAGCAAGACCTTAATCAGCCATTCCTCCTCCATCTCACACTTTACAAACAACATGTAGAAGTCCAGTTTTTCGCCCACAGACAGACTGGATGAGACCAGAATGTCTCAGCTCACTGTGTTCATGTGCTACAATTTGGACTCCACTTCCATCACGGGGTAAAGATATTTCTGATTTAAAGGGGACACTGTGTAACAGCTCACTGTGCTGTATTTGTTTGCATCTGTTTGTTTCCTGTTCCCTACTGCTTGCTCACCACCGTATCCGAGTGTAAAGAAACGTACGTAAAAAAAGTTTAAGGTGTTAGGGTTCCTAGGCAAATAAAGATTCAAATCTCACTTTGATATTACGAAGCACCTTCGAAAATCACCTTGTACAGCGTTATAGAGGGAATATAGCAGCAAAAGGAGGTTGGCGTGGAAGACACTGAGGCCTGACCTTCCCACTTAGATCCGACAGCAGAGGAGAGTACTACTTCAAAGCCCTGACCTATGGCTTCGTACACACACACACACACAATGTAACACACATGCACACCTTCAGCCACCTTCATGTGTTGTGGTTCACAAGCTGACCTGTCCAGGTAGCTACTGGGATGAAGGTCACTGGTGAATTATACATCACCTATCTCACGCACAAAACCGGGGTCACAAAATACACGGGGGGAAGAGGTGGGCGGGAAACAAGAGGAAGAAAGAATGAACACGTAAAAACAGGTCTAAAATAGTCTCTGTCCCCCGGGGGAAACAGAGCACTGTTCTTTTGAAGTTCATTTGGTAGGCAGTTTGTAGCTTCTGTGTGCTTCTCCTCCTCCTCCTCCTCCTCCTCCTCCTCCTCTCTAACATGCAGCAGATTGAGAGATGTACTTTGTCCTGCCTGGAGCCGTTTAAAATACTGTATTATTCCTCAAGGGACAACAAAAACTTCTTCTAAACACATTGAGTCATTTTGGGCATCATGGCACCAAATAAGTGTGATTTCATCAAACCAGGCTGCAGTACCAGTGTCCAAAATGGAGGAAGCTATACTTTCAGTTCAGTCTGTTATGTTTAGAAACTTCATTTGTGTTTTCAATTTACAGGACTCACGTAAAGGAAAAGTTCAACTACACACCACTTTTTTCACTTTGCATTAACTGGGTTAGCGTTATCACTGCGATGAATAAAGGTTTTAGAAATGTGAGGACGAGTGCCTTAAACAAATGCACTTTAACTGACAAGTTAAAGACTTTTAAGGAAAGCTATTTAAAGTATGCCACTGTGGGGATGAGTTTTCTACCCCTCTGCTCTGCATGCATTCTGGACTGTAAGCAGTCAATGGCGAGGGTCAGTGAGCACAGGTTTTGGAGGCAGACTTGTGTACAGGCACAAGGGTACAGAACCAGTTCCAGAACGTTAATCTTCCAAAACCACAAATTGTAGTTTTTACATTTCTGTTTGGGTCTAGATTTAAAAACAAGTCACTCAATGACTACTGAGCTTCAGAGGAAGGTAGGCATCTTTCTCTCTTTGAACAGAGGCAGGCTAGCCATTTCTCCCTGCGGCCAGTCTTTATGCTAAGCTAGGCAAACCACGTCCTGACTCCAACATTGTAATTAACACGCGGGCATAAGATTGACCTCAATCTTCTCATCTAAAGTTTGAAAACAAAGTGTATTTCATAAAAAATGAGAACTATTTATTTAATGTTCACATGTCAATAATTCATACCACCTTCTGTAAATAAATCCAAATTACATTGTTCAAGTGTGTTACAATTTGGAAACATTTCCATTCCTGAGTAGTGCTAAAGGTTATCGGCTCGCTTCTGTGGGCTGCATGTGGGCAAACCAGCTTGGAGCTCATTTGGAGACATTCAAGTGGCGGTTTCATTTATACTTATATCATATACGTATAACTTG